ATACGGGATAGTAAATACCTCTCAAATTGCTAAATTACGTTTCACTTGTGCAAGTAAAACACACTAACAGTATGCAGTAGGCTACTCACCCAGAGGGAGAACACACCCTACTCCAACAGATAACTTATCATCCTCCGACACCACACAATGTCCCTCACACATACCTTAAGACCTAACTTTTTAATAAATGAAAACACACAACAGCTACAGCGCTATTTTTGTTTCTCCAGGCGATGAGCATGGAAGGTCAGGACTCCATCTTCGGCCATGAGAACTCAAATGCTCAGAGCGGCAGCCAGCAACAGCTTTCTGAACAGGACAACAAGCTGGATGACACCATAGACAACCAACAGCAGGTATGCATGACCAATGGGACATAAACAAAACATATTATTTTCTTTTGAAAATGGGATTCAAGTCTTAGCACTGAACCAAGTACGTTTAATAAGCTGTGAGCCTAGATGTGATTGTTACAACAGTTTCTTACTTCACCTTGTATCTCTGTAGAAGGTCAAAAATAACCCCGTCTTTTTCAGGACATGGATCTGGACGAGGGCCCAGATGGTATGGAGGAGGATATGTTTGAGGCAGAGGAGAAGAAGATCGTAAGCACGCGCTCCAGAACACGCTCAAGGTCACGATCTAGGTCAGTCCCATTTATAACTGAAATCTCATTTTGTAAAAACATTTACTAAATGTACATGAAATATTGCTGAATTGTCTGTTTTTATGGGAAGCATTGATTTTTTTTAACCTTGTTTGAAAAGTGCTGACCTTGAAGGTCAGATTTAAAATTGGTACAAGATCGCTGGATGGAACTGGTCCTGTTTATGTTTACAGAATAATAATAAAAGCATACTGATAATTTCACTCCTTACTATAATATGCACTATAGCTTTACATTTCCTACTTAAGAAGAATTACATAACCCATGTTCTTCGATTGGCCCAAGAATAAATGTATATCATTAATTAAAGACTAACCAGAGAGTGTTTTTATTCATTACATTTATTGAGATTGGGAACTAAATCTGGATTCTGCCTAGTAATTCAGTCAACGTATGTTGTAAACTGGATTACTGTGATTCATTGGATTTTTTCAAATAGAGTCAATTAGGGCAGCGATTATGTGCCTATACAAGCTTGTAAAATGCAGTTGCTATAATCCTTTAACTTCAAACACTGGCTATGCACAAATAAATGCATTTATAAGTGGAGAAACATTCAATGCAAAACTGAATTGTGAAAACAGGTGTCGATAGTCAAAGGGAGCAGCAGTGTGACTGCAAACACAAAAGTCCCTCTGGAAAGAATTCCCAAAGGTTTCCATGTTTTCTCTCCATAGGTCTCCTAAGAGGAGGAGGTCCAGGTCTCGCTCCGGCTCACGGAAGCGCAAACACCGCAAGCGATCCCGCTCACGCTCCAGAGACCGCAAGAGGAAGTCCTCCCGGTCTTACTCGAGTGAGAGACACGCCCGCGAGCGAGAGAAGGAGCGGCAGAAGAAAGGACTGCCTCCCATCCGGTCGAAAACTCTCAGTGGTCAGTGGAAGGTCATTGCATCAGATAATGGGTGTTTGCTGTCAGTGCTTTTCTGGTGAATAATTATTATTTTCCCCTCTGCCCGTACAAAGTGTGCAGCACGACTCTGTGGGTGGGACAGGTGGACAAAAAGGCGACTCAGCAAGACCTCACCAACTTATTTGAAGAGTTTGGCCAGATTGAGTCTATAAATGTAAGTAAACCTCTCACCCTCTAATTTAGTCTCAGCACTGTATCCACTTCTTTAATCTCCCACATTTGTTAAATGAGATCTGTCACATGAAGGTCAGTATAGTTACTTTAAGCTGCCATTAACTATCTTTTAAATCCCCTATTTCTTTGTCTTTCCTCAATGCTACATTTTCACTCAGTTTTCTCATTTACATTTTTCATCAGTCTATGGTCATGCCCCGTTTTGAACCCTACCATGTAATGTAATGTGTGTGTGTCCCTGCAGATGATCCCGCCCAGAGGCTGTGCCTACATCTGTATGGTTCACAGACAGGATGCATATCGCGCTCGCCAGAAGCTCAGCACTGGCTCCTTTAAGATAGGCTCCAAAGTCATCAAGGTACACATTACCTTTTTATAATTTAATTTACTGTATCCTAACTCTCCTTGGGGTTTCTTCTAACGTAGTTCTCCAGCGGTGAAACCTCAGGGACAGTTCATCTTTCCAGGCACACGGATCCTTGTACGCCCGCGGAAATGACATTGAGAAATGCTGTTTATTGACCTTCTTGTGTTTGTTTCTGATTCAGATTGCATGGGCTCTGAACAAAGGGGTAAAGCAGGAGTACAAGCAGTTTTGGGATGTAGACCTGGGTGTCACCTACATACCCTGGGAGAAGGTGAAGCTGGATGACCTGGACGGCTTTGCTGAGGGAGGAATCATCGACCAGGAGACCGTTAATGATGGTGAAAACACACATACTTATAAAGGGGGAAAACTGCTAAAACTGCTAAAACTAATAAATGAATATTTGTGAACATGATCAACTCTCAATGCCAGAAACCATAGGAGTAAGTCTATAACTTGTGATATCATCAAGTATAATGTTATTAGTGTACAGGGTGTCCGCGGGGTCTTAAAAAGTATTAAAAGTTGATAAATCAATTTAGGAAAATTAAGGCTATTAAAAAGGCTATTAAAAGCGTTTTCCAAGGTATTACATTTTGTAAATAAATTAATTAAATAAATAAATTGTCCAAAGAGGTTGTATTCTACAGTTTGCCTGAATGTAATCATTGCGTAGGTCAGAGTTCCCGTTAGCCGGTAATTACCGGACTATGACCGGTAAAATATGCGGAAGTCCGGCAAATCTAAATCCCTCCGGTCAAAATGTCCGGTACAAATATTTTGCCCTTAGCGCAATATAAAGTGTATTCAAATAAACAATAAATAGATTTTTGTTTTTGTTTGTTTAAATTAAATTATCTTTTGTGTTAATAGGCAAGCGCACTGTAGGCCACGGCGTAATGTGGAACGAACCCGTTACATTTGTTTCATTCAGTAAGATAAAGTGGGCGCACAATAACAACAGGACGACAGAGAGATGAGAAAAATCGGACATGGCAAAACAAGCTAAGCTTAAAAATGATTTCTTTAAAGGGCCCATGTCATGCTTTTCCGGTTATTACCCGTCCCCTTGTGTGTTATGAAGGTTTTTATGCATGTAAACGGTGTGCAGAGTCAAAACCCTCAAAGTACACCGTGTAGCGAGTAAAACTCTAACACAGAAAATACCTCCCCAAAACGCCTCGTTGGAGATACGTCATTGTCCATTTGATTCTTCCATTTCGTTCCGGGTACGGCATGATGTCATGCCGTACCCGGAACGAAATGGACCAATCCGTGGAGCCGTTGCGCTACGTCCGCGGAGCCGTTATGTTAAGCCCCCGCTGATTGGTTCAAATTGACCAATCCACGGACTTCCTCACACACACACACTCTGTGCAGGCAGCAGCTCTGCTGATTTCTTCTCCCTGGCTGCAGGCTGATAACAGACAGTTGGGATCGCGGCGAAATTCTCTCTGCAGACCCATTCTCACAGCGTTTATCAACCTTTTTCTTACTCAATATCAAGCCACACTTATTGTTTTTAATCCGGCTGTGAGTTTGTGTGTGCTCAGGATGAGTTTGGCTGTATTTTGCTGTGTATCCTAAACAAGGAAACAACACCTCCACGGAGCTCAGCGCGATTCACAACGTCCCGACCAATCAGAGCACACTGTGCTCACAGGGAGGGTGGGGGCTGGAGCTATTGGAGCTACAACGAGCCGTGAAATTCAGTGAATACACGTAGTTTACAGAGATGCTGTATGAGAAACCAATGTGAGTTTGGAAAATTGCACAATATAAATCTATTCTAGTAGACCTCAACAATGGAATTATGATCAGTGGAAATGGCCATGACATGGGCCCTTTAAACCAAGCAGGTGTAATGATGATAATACCAACAATGAGATGGCGATACCGCCTGCTGTCAATGAGACCGCAGAAGCCTTGGCCCCGGACAGAAAAAAACAAAAATCCAGCGCGTTCAGACCCGAATGGAAAGATAAATTCACCTGGCTGAGGTGCGACATTATAGATGGGGAAGAAATTCTGTTCTGCTCACACTGCGAGAAGTCGGGGAGAATGAACGGGTTCACCAAAGGAGCAACAAATATGAGAACCTCTGCGCTTATTGAACACAGTCAGAGCAATGAGCACATTTTGTCAGTGAACACAATACCACAACAAACCGCAATGGAAGGCCACTGCGAGAGGGCGAATGAAGCTTCCAACATGAAGCTATGTTCTCAGCTAAAAGTAGTGTTTCACATGGCTAAAAACGACATTGCAGGTAATCAGTATGCAGGGTTGGCTGAGCTACTACGAGAAGTGAAGGCTCCTGATTTTGTCACAGGTGATGGAATTTACCGGCACGGTGATTCCGTTGATGACATGGAAAAGGCCATAGATGAAGTCCTGATTAAGCAGCTGGACGAAAAACTAAAGAAGAGTGACTTTATCGGAATAATCATTGACGAGACGGTTAATATCACTGTGGACAAAAAGCTGATAATATACGCCAAGTTGCAAATTAAAAGAAAAGTGGAGACGTGTTTTTTGGGAAACTATGACGTGCACTCCGGGACAGCACAGTGTATATTTGACAAGGTGGATGAGGTGCTCCGCGAGCGGGATGTGAAACTATCAAGCGCCATTGGCCTGGGCTCAGACGGGATTCCCCCGGTCCCGAAGAAGAGAGGTTTCAGGCAGATTGCCAAAATGGCCTGTACAGGGATGTGAATGTGACACACGCAGATGACCGGTCCCGGCAGGCTTTCAGTAATGTCCGCGTACGCTACATTACACATCTTATAGATGCTTTACACAACCGCTTTCCTGAAGAGTCCCTGAGTATTATCACTAGCTTTGACGTCCTTCTGAACCCATCCCGATACCCAAATGCACAAAGTGGTAAGTATAGGCCTTCCTAAAATTGTGTCACAAGTTATTTAAATGTGTTTATTTGCGTTACATAAAACAATTCATTATTTCTCCGTCCCTTCAGCGCTTCAAATATACGCTGAACCAGCCCTCAGAACCATTAATGGTCATTTTGGCCAAGGGATTGCCAGCGAGGATGACTCCGCGCAAGCCAGTGCTCCTCTCATTGATGCCACAAAGGCCCACAGAGATGCCATCCCTGTGATGACAGTGCTCCGCGGATACGGAGGCTTGCATTTCTTAACGGCTTGCGAAGTCCTCGTAAGAGATTTAGGCAACATCTATCCTGAGTGGGCCACACTGGCCAAGATAGCATGCGTGATCCCTGTCTCCAGTGTGCCGGCAGAGAGAGGATTCTCTCTACAGAACAGAATCAAAACAGCGCAGCGAAGTCGGTGATGGAATTTACCGGCACGGTGATTCCGTTGATGACATGGAAAAGGCCATAGATGAAGTCCTGATTAAGCAGCTGGACGAAAAACTAAAGAAGAGTGACTTTATCGGAATAATCATTGACGAGACGGTTAATATCACTGTGGACAAAAAGCTGATAATATACGCCAAGTTGCAAATTAAAGGAAAAGTGGAGACGTGTTTTTTGGGAAACTATGACGTGCACTCCGGGACAGCACAGTGTATATTTGACAAGGTGGATGAGGTGCTCCGCGAGAGGGATGTGAAACTGTCAAGCGCCATTGGCCTGGGCTCAGACGGGGCTAGTGTAATGATGGGCAAACGTGCTGGAGTTGGTGCTCTTCTGAAGAGAGAGAGTGCGTTTTGCATTCAGGTGCACTGTGTTGCCCACCGAGCTGCGCTGGCCGCGCTAGATGCTGCAAAAGCTGTGGACCAAGTAGGAGTTTACAAGCGCACAGTATCCTCTGTGTACTCATTTTACAAGCACTCAGCCAGCAGGACCAATCGCCTCCGTCAAATGACAGCAGCGCTCGGGGATGAAGATGTGAAAAGCCTAAAGCAGCAGTGCACTGTCCGCTGGTTATCCTTGCACAGGGCAGTGGAGGGTATCAAGCTAAGCTGGCCTGCTCTGGTGATGGAGCTACATGAAGAGGCTGTTGGAGGAAATGCCCAAGCAAAAGGCATCCTTGGTCAAATCCAGCCATACTGCTTTATCGCCTGGACTCACGCACTGGCTGATGTGCTACCTGTTATGACCAAACTGAATTTGGTTTTCCAGAAAGAGGATGTCAATCTGGCCACAATCCGACCAATGGTTCACGCATCAGTTGCGGATTCCCCCGGTCCCGAAGAAGAGAGGTTTCAGGCAGATTGCCAAAATGGCCTGTACAGGGATGTGAATGTGACACACGCAGATGACCGGTCCCGGCAGGCTTTCAGTAATGTCCGCGTACGCTACATTACACATCTTATAGATGCTTTACACAACCGCTTTCCTGAAGAGTCCCTGAGTATTATCACTAGCTTTGACGTCCTTCTGAACCCATCCCGATACCCAAATGCACAAAGTGGTAAGTATAGGCCTTCCTAAAATTGTGTCACAAGTTATTTAAATGTGTTTATTTGCGTTACATAAAACAATTCATTATTTCTCCGTCCCTTCAGCGCTTCAAATATACGCTGAACCAGCCCTCAGAACCATTATTGGTCATTTTGGCCAAGGGATTGCCAGCGAGGATGACTCCGCGCAAGCCAGTGCTCCTCTCATTGATGCCACAAAGGCCCACAGAGATGCCATCCCTGTGATGACAGTGCTCCGCGGATACGGAGGCTTGCATTTCTTAACGGCTTGCGAAGTCCTCGTAAGAGATTTAGGCGCCGTTTACACGAGGAGAAAACTGCTTGTATCTGCATAGTTTCGCGTGCGTATAGCCCTATTATTTACACGAGGCCGATAGAAACTGACCCCACAAACGATAACGGGTCCCAAGGTGGATAGATTTGCAAACGAAACGCTCTGGGGGGTCAACCGAGTCCGTGTAATCACCTCTATACGAATATTTCCTGAAAAAATAGCGAAAAAAAAAAAAAATAGCACCTCTCCTGCTCATTGCTGTAGCAACTATCAAAATAGCTGTGTTAATTAAACGCACAAGGGGTTCTTGAATGAAATAATATTATAAAAGGCAAACTAGAATAGTTAACGCCCAATATACTCCTTAAACAAAATAAACAGAGTCAGATTTCATGCATTGATCCATTATATTGACAAAGGAGGATCTCACCCGGTGTTTGTAGAGAATATCTCTCTTTTCTGAGCGGGTCCTCTCCACGGAGACGTCGGTCGATGCAATATCCACAGATTCGGTTTCTTTCAGTTAACTTCCCCGTTGCATTTATCCATATGCTGAGGAAATTACTATATCCCGCTGAATACCAGCAATCACCACACACACTTCCTCCTGTCAGTAGCTACTGCTAGTGCTACTGCTACTGACCATGCTACAGATATTAGTGCAAAAATATACAGCTCCTCTACCACAACCATCAGCAACAAGTGGACATGGAGAATTACATGAACTACATGTTGCTAAATACACGGCGGGGCATGAACAGAAGGGTAGCCATGGCAACATTGTGGCGGGGGCTGCTGGGGCTGCTCTTCTTCGCTGCTTTTGGTGTATTTTGGCGGAAGTTACAGCGCCACTTACAGTTCCGGCATATGGACTACAGCGTTTCCAGCGGCCTCGTTTGAACAGACACGTTAAATGAAACAAATGCATGTGAACGGAAGACTTTTTTGAATACGCATACTGTGCATAAACGCAAACGGTCCCGTGTGAGCGGGGCCTTAGGCAACATCTATCCTGAGTGGGCCACACTGGCCAAGATAGCATGCGTGATCCCTGTCTCCAGTGTGCCGGCAGAGAGAGGATTCTCTCTACAGAACAGAATCAAAACAGCGCAGCGAAGTCGGTGATGGAATTTACCGGCACGGTGATTCCGTTGATGACATGGAAAAGGCCATAGATGAAGTCCTGATTAAGCAGCTGGACGAAAAACTAAAGAAGAGTGACTTTATCGGTTAATGGACGAGATCGGACGAGACGGTTAATATCACTGTGGACAAAAAGCTGATAATATACGCCAAGTTGCAAATCCAGCCATACTGCTTTATCGCCTGGACTCACGCACTGGCTGATGTGCTACCTGTTATGACCAAACTGAATTTGGTTTTCCAGAAAGAGGATGTCAATCTGGCCACAATCCGACCAATGGTTCACGCATCAGTTGCGGATTCCCCCGGTCCCGAAGAAGAGCGGTTTCAGGCAGATTGCCAAAATCTGGAGAGACACTCGGGACCTTTGATTTTAAATCCGCAGCTACCCACTTCACAGGTCTGAAAAAGCGTAGAAAGTATGCTAAAGGCCCTGACACACCAGGCCGTATTCGGCCGTCTTGCGTTGTCTGGCGACAATGCGTTCCTTGTCGCCCAAAGTCAATTTGGTGTGTCCCAAACGCTCGGCCGTGACACGCCTTATTTGGTCTTTCACGGTCGACACATGGCCGATTCAACATGTTGAATCGGCCAAAATACGGCCACAAGCTATCGGGCCAAGAAACCACTCTGATCAGCTGTTCAGCTAGCAAATGAGAAGCAAAACGGAAGTGAGGGACGTAAACAAACGATTTAAAAAGGCACAGGACAGCAGTTAAACACCAGCAGGTGATACTTAAAAGACATCAAACATAGCCCTTAAATGTCCTCTCTTACCTCCCACACATAGCATTTGTTCTGGGAATGTAATTTTCGAGCCTGAGACCTGAAAAACAGGCTCAGGGCTAAACAGGTTAATATAGAGTTGTTATCAATTTGTTTTAAAGCTCAATAACAAAGAAGACCTTTGACCGGGAAATTTCCAATTTGTCCGGAAGATTTAAATCCTAACGGACATGGTGACCGGCACACATTTTTTCTAACGGGAACTCTGGCGTAGGTGTGCAGTGTGATTCTGTGTAGTTTATTTATGGCATCCCGTTGGATTTGACGTCATCTGAACAGGACATCGCACGCTCACTGCTTGATAGCGCACGAAGGCCCATTTACGTTGGTTGTTAAACAACTTCGTTATGGGGAAATGCAAGTTTGCGTCCAAATGGTTGGAAGATAAGGAGGAAGGACAATCAATACTGTATAGTAAATGTGTCGCCAATGTAACCGGTTAAAACTCAAAGTGGCGATGAGGTCTTAAAATGTATGAAAAGGGTCTTAAAAAAGGTCTTAAAAGGTATTACATTTGACTTCAGGATTCCTGCATATACCCTGGTGTAGTATAAACTGGTTTTGTGGATGGATTGTTTTTTTTTATACCTACTTGAGCTTTATAAATGTTAGTGCTGTTAGTCAGGAAACAGAAAATGTATCCATGTACATACAATGTTTCCCCTGGCGGCTGCCTGACATCTTTCCACATGCATTGTCTATGGAGAAGTAACACACAACACATGATTACCTTCACACATTTGAGTTAAAGTCCCTTATTTGGGGATTTGGAAGACAGTTGTTCATGTTTAGTAATATTTTTGGACCGTTTTAGACCATGTATGAATTTTGTAAATAGGTGTAGTTGCCCCTTTAAAAGAAACTACACACAACTCAAAATTCATACATGTTTTTCATGGTTGACTTGCTAGCATGTTTGTACACACATGATGAAAGTATAATCCGGATTTCCAAAACACAGGCAGCTTTTAATCGCTTGAATGGATTTGTTTTCTACCCAATTCCCCCAGTTGTTTGCTTTGTTATGGTAATGCTTCAAAATCCGTTCCACACCCTCTGTAGAAAAATGAAGAAGAGTTGAAAACAGAAAGCTAAACTCCCAAATCCAAACAAACAATTGAAAGATGGTTGATTACTTTGTTTTCATCCTAATGTCTGTCGCTGCAGAGTGGGAAGCTGCCAAGAATGCCGAGCCCGTCAAGGAAGTAATCATTCAGCCAACCAGCGTTGAGACTCCAGTGGTGTCTAACACACACACTGAGAGCTACAGCCAGCAGGTCACCATGATGCCTGTACAGGTACTAACCACACTCTCTATCTGTGGATGAATGTGATCAGTTTTGTACATTTTCTCCAAAAATCTGTTTGGAAAAAGAGTTTATAGGTTTTATTGCAGATTGTATGTCCACACATTCTATTTTATTGGATGATAATGGAGACGGTGCATCTTTATTTGCATTAAGTATTACTATGTTGATGGAGGCTTTTGCAGCTACTCATCACGTCATTGACTTATTCACATTCTCTTGTAACCCTCTCTTTCAGCTCCCAGTGGCCCAGCCTGTTCCCAGTGCTGTGGGTTTGGTGCCTCCTAACTTCCCTGTCAGTATGGGTATCCCCCCCCCAGGCTATGGGCCTCCACCACCCTTCATCAGGGCCGGCTTCAATGCCTCGCAGCCTCCGCCAGGTAAATAATGCAAATGCTTATATAAAGAATACATATCAGACTTACAGGAATTCAAAGCTAACAATAAATATGTTCTGCTTTGCAGGTTTTATGCAGGCAGCACAGACCGCAGCCATGAATGCCGCAGCTAATGGTGAGTATTTACGACATGATACCCTAATATGATATTTCATATTGTGTGTTAACAATTGACATGTCATTTCAAGGCTTAGTATTTAAATGTATTAGTTTGGATTAAATGTTTTTGTTCCCGTTCTCGTCTATAGCTCTGGTGCAGCCTTCATTGCTAAACAACCAAGATGCTGTCAAGGATTCTCCGTTCAGTGCCATGATTCCTCCGGCCGGCTTCATGGCCTCTATGTTCAACCAAGTCCAGCAAGCAACCAATGAAAAACCATTGCAGTCTGCAGACGGTATGGATGCTGCAGCAGAGCTTACGCTGCAAGGTGAGCAGATGCTAATGTGTTCCAGCATGAGAGACATTCAAATCGTTTTTGTCTGGTGGACACTTTGAGTGTTTTTATAAGCAGCCCTAAAAGGTATTTGTGTTTATCCAAAGAGAATAGTAACAATAATTTCTGCCATTGTGATTTGTCCCCAGGCATGCAGAACGCAGTGCGCAGTGGGATGGGTCTCCTTGGCATGCACCCCACAGCCTCCCTCGGCCACCAGCTGCATCAGTCTGCTCTGACCGGCCAGAGGATGCCTGGCCTGCTGCCTCTGGATGTTCGACCCAACATCCTCCAGCCCGGGGCAGCAGCCCGCTTCCCACTCCTCATGCAGCAGGGGCCCATCCAGCAGGTTGCTGGCCTGCTCGAGAGTTCCCTCCAGGCTCAAGCCCGTGCCAGGGTCCCCTTCTCTCAGCTGGACCCCTTCAACAGGGTCCCAAACCTCGCCAATGAAAGTGTGTCCAAGCCAGAAGACGAGTCTTCCTCTGGAGCTGATGAGGGCAAAGACCAGGACTACCGATTCCCTCCAATGGAGAAGCCGAGCACAGGCCTGCTGAGGACCCCTCCACCAGACCATAGGGAGGCCCTTGGAGGTGGCAGGCCTCCCTTGCTCCAGACCCCAGGGGCTCAGCCAGGCAGAAGCAGCCTGGTGGGACGACTGCAGGCTCTCGCAGGCTTCACCCCTGATAACCGCTGGAACCAGACCAGAGGGGACTTTGATGAACGAGATAGCATGCGAGCAGGCCTCCAGGCCCCAAGCCCTGCAAAAGGCTTCCAGGAGGAGCGGCCCCCATCTGGACAGAACTTCCCCAATCGATTTGAAAGCCGTCCTGGGACAGCAGTGGGAGCAGCAGGGGGAGCCGCAGGTGTTTCAGGCAATGCTGTAGCTGTTGGGGGGCCGCAGGCCTGGAACCGCAGTAGCAGTAGTAGCAATAGTAGTAGTGGTGCTGCTGCTGTTGCTACAGCACCTTTTGACAGCGAACAACATCAAGACCTAGATGAGCGAAGACGCCCGTGGGACAGGCAGAGAGACAGAGATGAAAGAGAAAGAGAGAGAGATTTTGACTTCAGGAGGGAGATGAACGGTAACCGCCACAGCCGAGAGAGAGAGCGGGACCGAGACAGGGACAGGGACAGGGAGCGAGGCAGAGACCGAGACCGCAACAGAGAGCCTGAGCGCGACAGAGAGCGCGACAAGGAGAGAGAGCGCGAGAGGGATCGTGATCGTGGGGGGTGGACGCCTCTCCTCCCTCTGCCCACACCTCTGCTTCCAACTCCAACGCTCAATCCCAATCTGACCCTGAACCAAGGCAAACTGCTGGCACCGCTTAAATTGAACCCCCAGATTCAGTCACGGTTCCAGTCCCCGCTCCTGCCTCAAGCTCATGCCAAACCCTCTCTGTTGGGTCTGCCCCCGTCAGAGGTTCAGATTAAGTCTCCACCTCCTTCCGAGAGCCAAGCAGCTGTGCCAGAGTCAGAAAGCCCGGCTCTGTCTGAGACACCGAAGGCCCACTCCCCACCCCCAGCCCAATCACCTGACTGCTCACCTGACAACAAAGATCACAGCCCATTAGCTGAGTCTCACAGCCAGGCCAAGTCTTCACCACAACATGAGACTCCTCCACAAACAGAATCACCATCCCTATCCCCGGCCCAGTCCCCTGAAAAGACCCCTGCTCAGTCCCCGGCTCAGGCTGCAAGCCTGTCCCCGGCCCAATCCCCAGCACTGTCCCCAGACCAGTCGCCCTTCAAAACCACTGCTTCCCCAGACACTGAGACCCCAAGCCAAGCTTCGCCGCTGATTGAGGCCTCTTCCCAGGACTCACCTGTGGCCTTCACACAAGCCGTCAGCCCTCCTGAAGAGACTCCCTCTCTGGAGGAGCAGGAAAGCCCACAGAAAGACGAGGACGAGGAGGAGGAGGAGGAGGAGGAGTCACAAGAGAGAGCCTCCTCCCCCCAACCCCAGTGGGTCAACGGAGCTGGGATGGACAATAGTACAGGGGCCGAATCTACACCCGAGGCCTCTCCCGAGCCCACCGAAGAACCCTCTCCCGACTCTGCGCTCCCTGAGAGCGATCCGGAGCCGGAGCGGCTCGCCTCCCCTGAGGACGTAGACAATGAACAGAGTGAGCCCATGGAGGAAGCTGCGAGTCAG